GGCAGATTTGGGCTTGTAGAGCTATCAGCCTAATTCCTGGAGTCCATATTGCTGAAGGTCTCCACTCTGTTCTGAAATGATCAAGAGAGCGTGTTCTGAAATGAAGTGTGCTATGTTCCTGACCAACAGTGGACTCCAAACACCTACAGCAAAAATATGAGCATCGGTAACAACCACTAACACCTGTGTTCAAGGTGAGCCTGGCTCTGCCTCCTATAATCCTCACAACCCCCTTAGGAAGGGTCTTAACTATCCTGCTCCCTTTCCAGAAGAGGAAAGGGGCCTGAGGGGCAGGTCACACTGCCCGCTACAGGCTTCTCCCTCACCACCAGACCACACTGCCTCCCACTGGCCCTGCTTCACCCAAGCCCCCAGGTGTTCAAGAAACTTGTCAGATGACTGAAGAGGCTCTCCCTCCAAGAGGTATTGCTCACTGTTCAGATTTACAACTCTTTCTAAATGGTCAACAACACAGGAAGACCACTGCTTTAGTGGGAAGACCTTGGTGTATTTACTGAAATAATGTGGTCACTGGACTTGAATATATATAATACTTAATCATATGAAGGAAACAGTCTTTTCTTAGCTCCCTAAAAGATTTTGTTAGAATTGTATGTCTAATTTTACAGAATTACTTTCATCTACATTCATAAACAAAAGAGAAAAAAACCTACCTTTGTTAGATTTTGGTAATAGGGCTCAACTAAACAGTAGCTTTTAATTTTCACTTCTTGATTTTTAGCCAGTTCTAGTATTTTTTTTAAATTGCAGTTTACAATGTTGTATCAATTTCTGATGTTAGTATTTTATTTGAGTAAATTATGTTCACTCAATTTTCCAGAAAATTCTCTACATAATTGAATTTGAAAGAGTGATAGTGGGTAACAATTTATGTTTTAAAATTCTAACTGTTCTCTTTATTCATTTGTTTTCTTTTATTAATTAATTTTCCAGGTATATACCTTTTTCATTAAAAAAAACGCTCTTCAACTAACAATTTTGATTCTGCCAGTTAATTAATTTCTGCACTTATCTTTATCATTTCCTCCACATACTTTCCTTAATCTTATATTTTTAAACCTCCTTTGGCTACCTTGCTACTGTATAATGGGTATCCAAAGAGTGTACTGAATGAATCAATGTTCAAAGAATTGAAGTGGCAAAAAAAATGTGAAAAGGATGAGTTCAAAAAATATTAATAATCAAGATGTGGTGAATCAGATATGGGGTAAGGAGGAGTTAAGGATGAACCCCAAGTTCTGACTCAGGTAACTGTTTAATAGACTAAATTACGTTTTCCCAAAATTCGTATGTTGAAACTCTGACCCCAATGTTATGGTATTTGGGGTCAGGCCTTTAAGAAGTAACTAAGATAAAATAAAGTCATAAAGGTGGAGCCCTAATCCATTATGACTGAGGTCCTCATAAGAAGAGTAAGAGACACCAGGGATGCACATGCTTAGAGGAAAGGCCATGTGAGGACACAGTGAGAAGGTGGCACCTGTAAGTCAAGGAGAGAAGCCTCAGGCGACACCAAACTGGCCAACACCTTGATCTTGGATTTCCAGCCTCCATAACTGAGGGGGAATAAATTTCTGTGGTCTAAGATGCCTCATCTGTGGTATTTTGTTATGGCAGCCCTATAAAATAATACACGTGGTGAATAGTGGGTACCATTTGCTGACTCTATGAGTAGACCTGAGAGATGGCAAGTAGAAACGCCCAGCTGGCTGCTGACCGACTATACATGTTGGCAGAATGAGCCAGAGACAGAGATCTGGGTGTTATAAATGGAAGTAGAACACCATGGGGTAAATGTGAATGAAACGAAACTCTAGCAAACATCTCCATGAGACTCTAAAGGAAGAGACGCTCCTGAAGCAAGTTTAGCACAAGCAGAGAAACACAAGGAAAATCAAGAGATGAGACCATGAAAACTAAGAGAGAACATTTAAAGAAGTGGGCTCAGCAGTGCCAATTGTAACATACAGATCAAGCCAGACAAAGCCTGAAAAGGCTAGCAAGTTAAAGATCTATGGCCTCCTTGAAAAGAAAACCACTGGTGGATGGCTGGCAGTAGGAGCCATGTGGCAAAAGATTCAGGTGTGGATGAGGGAGGAAGTAGAGACAGAAAGGGGAGACAACTCTCAAGAAGTTCGTTTGTTAAAGAAAAAAACAAAAGTGGTGCCTGGAAAGGATCATCAGCTTCCAGGGAGGGGCTTCTTTCTGTGTAAAATTCTTCATCATGCACAGACGTTAGAGGAGAGGCCAAAGACACAAGTGAGAACTCCTGGGAGAAGAGGGGAGGCAGCTCAACCTCACACAGGGGAATGAATCACACTCCGCTAGAAGGAGCATTGCCTTTTCCACTGTGATAAGAACAAAAGTGTAAAGGGTGGATGAGGATTCTGTGGGTGGAAGACGAGAAACTGTGGGTTTCCCACCTAGAGTTCTCTGTGTTCACGCTGAAGTAGGAATACTGTCATCTGCTGAGCGAGGGGTGTCAGAGAGTAACGGTTTTAAAGGAACAGTGAAACTTAACAGCCGTAGGGAATGAGTGTGAGCTGATTAGGGGCATCTGATGGGGTAGCCCAGCAGCTCTGAGGACCCAGTTTAGAGACAAATGTAGTGGGTGGCACCACCCACAGCTGTGTGATTTCTCCTGCGGCGGTATGAGGTGTTGTATGACTTGTATGAGGCCCTAACCTCTTTAGGTTTTCCTTGTGTTTCTCTACGTATTCTAAAATTTCATCAAGGGCAAATCCAGCTGTTTAGAACCCAGCTGAAGGTATTTGCTAGGGTTCCACTGTGACCTTTTTATATTACTTCTATGTATTCTCCATGGATTCACCCTCAAGGTTCCACCCCGTTTCCTATGACTCAGAAGTTTAGAAAGGTAAGTAACTAGATAAATCCAGAGTAGGGGTTTGCTAGGAAAAAGCAATGTAAGGGTAGGCATAAAATGACCCCAAGAAGATTTGGCCTGCCTCCTATTTTTGCTTTTCCCATCACTTCATTGCAGCTTTCATCCTTAACCAAAGGACAAGAGTTTTCATCCCTAATAGACCCAACATTCCCTTTTTATAATGAACTTTTATACCCACTTTTATTGTCCTGAGGTCAAGTTATAAATAACCTACCTAACAGACTTAAGTTTAAAAGATCCATTTAGTGTCCTCAGGGTAATGTAAAGGAGGTGTAAAATGAAATTTATAATAAAAAATGTATCGCAATCTGTAAATCTCAGGCATAATTACAAGAAAAGACTTAATGAAGTAGTCAGATGCATGACTGGATACAGATCCCCAGGAAGACAGGTACAATCACAGACTGAGCAAGGTATGCTATACCTGAAACTTAAACCCATGAGTAGTGTGACATTCCATCAGGTCCAGTAAAACTCAACCAATTGCTACATTAAAAAAAATTTTTTTGTAGTCTCAAGTTGTTAGTATAACGACTTTAAGTAGAATTGAAATATGGTTTGGTTTCAGGCAACCCAGCATATCAGAAATAGAGAAAATGGCAAGTATGTAGAGTAACACAAACTGTTTATGATCTTAGCTTCTTTGGTCACCACCTTTTCCTATCACTCTAAAGTTTGGGGGTAGAAAAAAAAACTGGAAAAAAAAGTAATCTTTGGTGGGAGAGTATAGCTCAAGTGGTAGAGTGCATGTTTAGCATGCATGAGGTCCTGAGTTCAATCCCCACTACCTCCTCTAAAAATAAACCCAATTACCTTCCTCTCCCCACCGAAAAAAAAAAACAAAACACCAGCCTGAGGGTAGGAATTCTACTGTCAGTGGTGATCATCTTGAATTTGGAACACAAGAATGGCCTGTACTGGGAGGCTTTTACCACCTCCATAATGTTACCCAAGAAGGAACCATAGTGCCTGGACAGGCAGTAAAGAAGACCAAAGAGGAATTCGGGAAGCAGACAGCTTAGGGTTAAAGAAGGTGGCTAGAGCCAGCTGACAGGCACTACCACCAAGCTAATTATTTCATACTGCAGTGTCTCATTCCTGACCTAACATGTTTCCCTGTTGCCGAGGACACCTCTTCTGAACATTGTATTTATACGTGAAACACCGGTGCACTTTTCAAACCCAAGCCCAGCTGTCACATCACGCCAGGTGGGAAACTGCAGAGCTCAGAGGCCAGGCCTCCTACCAGAGTTCAACAGAGCAAAGAGCATTCCAGTAGTCCCCGCAACTCCTGGAGCCCCACCACCATGCTCCGCTTCCTTATAAAGTGGCTGCGTGGGTTTGGGAAGCAGAGGCCGTGATGTGTTGGATGTCAGTTAAAAGCAAGATGAGCCCGCAGAGGAATAAGCAGGTAGAGGGTGTCAATGGTCAGTCTGGGGAGCAGACTCTAAATTAGACTGTGACACAGAGAAGATGGCAGGGCACAAGTCAGAGAGCCAGGAGTCTTCACTGCACCACTGACCACCAGGGCACTTCGAATCTCTGTGTTTCCATTTTCTCATATGTAAAGTGAGGATGACTATAATACTATTTATCCTTACCAACCTAAGGAGACTGTCTGGTGGAAGGGAGTCAAAGTACACAAAGATAGTCTATAAAGCACTTTATGAATGTTGTTCTTATCACTGTTGTTACTATTCTTAAGAAAGCAGCAGAACCGTGGAGAAGGTGAACCTAGAGCTCCTCAGCGCTTGGGGCAGTCAGACAACAAGTGCTCAACATTTCCTGCAAGTCCAGCCATGCTTCCCAGCCTCCTTCCGGCAGGAAAGAGGATGGAAGACCACCTGCTGAGAGTGCGAGAGACTGTTTTGGGTCTAGAAAGAAAAGCTGGAGAAACCTGTAAGGCTGGAAAGCGTTTCTGAGAAATGAAAGGTTTCCAAAAATTCCCCCAAAATGTGTTCCACCACATATTACCAAAATGGATTCACTGGTGAAATCAGTGTGGGAATAGGCTTCCTCCCCCAGGCCTTCTCTCTGAGAACTTAACAATGAATTTCCAGTGAGGATATGGGACGCAGGATGTGCCAAATTTATTTAACGACAGAACCCTTTCCCACAGAGCATCTATCAAATGGTTTCATGAAACATACTTTGGGAATTAAACCCTCCAGTTGGGCATAATGTTATATGGGCACATGGATCATAAAAGGGAAACAGGAATACTTTTTTAACATTCGATCAATGGTAGGCAGCTGCCGGACATTTTGGGAAAAGGAGAAATCCATTTTTTAACCATGGCACTGAAACACATTTTCCCTGAACCACCCTAAATTCCAGCCCCTCGAGATCCACCAGCTGTGCGACCCCACATTCCACAGTTACATACATTAAATCTACTTTTATTTTTTGTTCTAAAATGTGCTTTTTTTTCCCTTAATATCAGTCCAGGACCTCCACCTCCTCTTTAAAAAAAAACAAACAAAAAAACACCACCACACACACACACAGACACACACGCCATCCTCCAACCAGGTGAAAAATCCCCGGCGATTAGTCTATAACAAATATTGACACAAGGGGGAAAAAAAGCATGTTGAAATGTATTAGAATCAGAACCTGTACAAAAAAAAAATTAAAATATAACCTGAAACTGTTCAAGTTCAGAAAGGCTAGTCAAGTCCTTTTCTCTTGCCAGGAGAATGCCATCATTAGAAGGCTCTGGGTCACCAGCCAGGGAGGGTGGGAAGAAAGAAACAGAAGCAGCAACAGATCCTTCACCAGACAGACGGGCCTCGACACCACCATCCCCACCATGGATGCAGCCAGGAGGAATTAAAGATCTTGGGAGAGCAAGTGTTGGCAGACAGCCCCAGTGGGCCACTGGGGCCTTCACACCAAAACCCAGTCTGAGTAGTCAGAGGCAGCAGGAAGTGTGGCCAGCAGAGAACACCAAGCTAGAAGAAACTTCCGCCACCCAGCAGACCCATAGCCCCCTCCACTGATGCTCAGATACCAGATGTTAGTCAGCCCAGTGTTCCCAACTAATGAGGGGCTGGAGCTGGGCTTAAGAGGCTGAAAACCCGCAGGTTTAGTAAACATAGCCCAGCATCACATCCCTCCATGGCCTGATCAGAGCTGCCAACAGGGGATAAGGCAGGAGAAGGAAAACAAAGCATTTTGATACCTGGCTAAAGGGCGCCTGCACCATTGTGGGTACTGTGGTACATGGGGCTGGAGAAGGACAGCCCCCCTCACTCAGAGAGGGGCCTCCTTCACAGCCATCCCTGTGGGCCAGTTAAAGCTGCTTCCAGCTTATGACCAGCCTGACAAAATGACATGAAGCAAAAGAAAAAGTGGGAGGGAGACAAGCCCTTAGACAGAGACAAGAACCTCCTGGAGGGAAGCTGGGCAGTGTCTGGCCCTGTTGGGATGGCATCCGAAGAGCCCCTGAGTCTGAAGGGAGCAACTGGGGAAGGGCGAGTAGGTGAGGGAAGGGAGTTGACGGTTCTTCTGGAACAGTACCAATGTAGGGGAGGCGCTGGTGAGGGGACGGGCAGGTCTGGAACTCACGGAAGGTAGAAAGGGGAGGAAATAGGCCCTTGGTGTCCCCTCCCCACCTGACCCAGGCCTGGTGAGTGCCAGCTGCCCCAGCCAGCCCTAGTGGCGGCTGGAGACCAGACCTTTCACTTTGGACATCTTCTTAGTGGGCTGCCTCTGCTCAGCGTGAGGGGGACACTCTCGTTCAGCCAACTGTTGCTCCATCTCCTGAGCTGAGGAGGACGCGGTAGCTTTGAGTGTCTTCTTGATGTTGGTAACCTGGAGGGAGACAGAATTGGTGTGCTCAGCTTGTGAGCACCACAAACCCACTGAAACTTGTTCTCACTAAAATAGGGGCCACTCAGAGAAGAAGCCAGAATCCTCTGCAAGAAAATCTGAGATTATTTTCAGAAACCCAGATGAGGAGAAACAAGCAGGGGCTACTCATGGAAGATACATGGAAATGAGTCATGCGAAAAAGTGGAACTAATGCTTTCTTGGTTGAAAACAGGGAATATGCCAAGCGGCAGCAGACCATTTGGCAAAAAGGTAAAACACCGTAGGTGAAAGAAAGCTCTGGTTAAAACAGCCTTAAAAAAAGAAAAGGTGACCCAAGATGCTATACTCAGCTAATTACTGTTTCTGTATGAAATCACAAATATTTCACAAGAACTTTAAGAATACAGTTCTTGAATAAGCAACTGAGGAAAAACGTCAGCCAACTAAGTGACAAATGACCAAAAAAATGGAGTAAAAAACTGGCAAAAATGCAACCACAGTACTCAGTATATGTTTCTTCACTTAACAAAGGAGTGGGTCAAAAATATTTCAGAACTCCTGAACATTTTTCCATGTCAGAACACATATTCTCTCTAACATCTGTGTACTGTTCTACTATGACTGATCTACCACTTTTCAATTAGTTCCCAGTTTGTTTTTCACTTATGTATATGCTACTATGGACAGCCTTCCATGTTTACCTTTTGCATACTTTTGTGAATACCCATGGAGGACGTATTCCTAGAACTGAGCTTTCCACATCGCAGACTCTGCACACTTTATGCTTTGGTAACTATTGCTACATTGCCTTCTGAAAAAGGTACCAACTTGTACTTCTACTGTGTACTCCCGTGCCCGTATTTATACACATTCCCCAATAGTTCTAATGGATCTTTTATACCTTTGCCCATCAGCTTGCTGAGAGGAAGGAAAGGGGGAGAAAAGCAGAGAAGAAAACATTAGCTTTTTTTTTTTAATCATTAGAAGGAAGAAAGGGGAGACGGTTGGTGCAGAGTAAGGTATATGTTTGTTGGTAAGAAAGAGAAGGTGCTTCCCCTGTTTGGCGGCTTCCATGTTCCCTGGGAAGGTTTGGTTTTCCACAGAGCAAGAACGGAGTTGCCAGGGACCATGGTTCTCAACAGTCAGAACATCAGGAGCTTGAGTAAGAGGCCGTCCAAATGCAGAGATGAGAGCGACACAAAAATTAGGTTCCTGGAGATCTATCATCTGCAGAAAGATCCTGGACTAGACTGTAGGTCATTTTTCATTTTGTTTTTTGTTTTGATGTAGAAACAGCCATGACCCAAAACCACTGTCACCTTAATCAATACTATGACTTTTCTGATAGGAGCATCAACAGAGGGCTGTGGACTGGGACAGTGAACACAGAGGGCAGTCTAAGTCAAGTCCGGATTTATCCTGTGTCCTGCCAGACCAAGAAATGCTATCTCAGAACCCCAGGCATCTCACCTCCTAGAGGCTCATTGCTGCTCTGGTATCTCTTGTTGAATAGAGTCACTTGGTGAGATAGTTAATTTGGAGCAAGTGGGTAGCTAGCCACTCTCTCTTGTAAAAGAGATGTTTGTGTTTGTTTCACTTCAAGGCATAGTTTGATGGCCTTAGAGACAGATTAAGAAAGGTGATTTCTCAGTTACCACTGCTTTATAAAATAACACTCCCAGGTTTGTCCAGTTTGATATGTTTTCTAAGCATTGTAAAGAAAATTAATTAAAATCTTAAGAGGTCACAGCATGACTTAAGTTTATTTCTTTGCATATCAGTTACCTCTGACTTCTAACGTATTAAAAGATCCTGCAACCTAAAAATAAACATTAAGAAAATGGAGGGAAATAAAAAAGGAGATTCATGCCTCATATTTTCAGTACCTGGGATACACTGCCTGAGGGAATTTGTTTTTAAGGTTTCGCTTTTGAGCTGACAAAATCTTATTTAAACAAAACATTATGAAAATAACAAGTTTTCATTATAAGGCCTGTATTTCCAAAAAATGGTATCTTTCCCACTTAGCAAAACAGCTTTATTAAAAATAAATTTAAAAATATAGTTTCCTTCATTTCATCTTGGCTGCTAAACACCACTTAACCTTATTTCATCAAGTTCTTTGTGCAATCATTTTCACTAAACAATCAGCTTATACTACAAATAATTTCCGATATTGATTCTTTCATTTAATATATCTTAGATTTACTGACAGCCTCATAATCCCTACATGAATAAGAAAAAAGTATTTAATCAATTCCCAAATAACGGGTCTACTTTCAATCCCTTGCATCTGTGTTTCTGATGAATCTGTCATTACAAGCATAGCAGAAGTTAACTGGCATTTTTCTTTAGTGGCCTCAGGTGACTTGAGCCAGCTTTGGCATCAGAGTATCCATGGTGGAGCCGAGAAGCCAGTTCCTGCCTGCCAGCCCAAGGAGCAGACTCTGTCCTGTGGCACATTCACCACACACAGGCCACTCACCAAGAAACTGTTCCCTGTCGGCCTCTCAACAGCCAATCAGCTCAACTGGCCCCAACTCTTTTGCTGTATATACTCTTCCCCCACCCAAAGTTCAGCACTTCCCGTTTCAGATCCTTTATAATAACATGAAATCACAGGCTCTCACCCTAGTTCCCGAGAAAACCTGCTCTTCACCCTTCTCCATCCACAGAAGGACCTAACTGTGCTCTCTTCCTATCTAAACCATCACTCCGCAAAATGGTAAGGCAGCCTCCCCATCTCAGTGACTCAATTCTATTTAAAAGCCTTTGATTCAGGATCCTGTCAAAAGCTTTTAACCAAATAAACAGAAGCAAAGACACTGCTCCACGGCTCCACTCAAATGCCTATTTACCTTCTCAAGCAGTTTTTCTTATAGAAACTACCTCCTGACAAGCTATTATTTGGGGTGCTCAGTGATCATGTCATGCCAGAAGAAGAAATGAGACTTACCCCAAGGAAAAACCTGGGCTGTTCACCATTTCTGAAATGCCACTCAAGATCCTGTCCCTTCCTTCCTGCTCCACAGCACGTGCCCTCCACTGGAACCACACTGGTGCAGGCCTCATCCTCAGAAGCACTCCATTGGTTCTGCCTTGATGCCTTTCCTGCACCCCGTTCCAGCCTGGCGAGCTTCCTCCTTTGCTAGCCGCCTCTGACCCTACCTCTTCCTCAAACCCACCCTGACCACTCTAGCCAACACTGACCTGCCTCCCTAAGCTACATCGCCTGGCAGCACCTCTCACTCTTGGATGGACAGCTTCCTCTGTGTTGTGTCTCCTCTGTTTCAGGGGTTCACATCTAGCTTCCAGTAAGACTACGTACTGACAAAGTTAAGTCCTCCTCACTTGGGTAAACAAACCATAGAGAAAAAGAGGGGTTCTTGGGCAAGTGTCTCTTAGCCTAAGAAATGAGGCCTTTTATCCTTAACAAGGCCTCAGCCTGGATGGGGGTGACGCAGCTCCTATCACACTGGGGCCTATCACAGATAAGCTTTGCTCAAGTCAGTCTGATTGTTAGTATTTTAAAAACACGGAACTCACAAAGGAGACTGCTGAGCCAGTGACAGACTCTCAGAGCTGAGGGACAGGTAAGAGTCCTAGCTTTCTGTAATAGCCTCACGGGTCTGAAAGTAGACAGCTCCTTCTGGGATCCAAGAGTGGCTAGCCAGGTAGGCCTACCAACGAAACCCACAGAACACATCTGAGAAGTCTAACTCCTCTTTCTCAGAGCTGCCCTTTAAATGATGACTAGTATCCCACAGACTTGTCTTCTTTGGCCTAAATGTCCCTAATCTTTTCTAATTTTCTTCCTTGAGTGGACTGGCTTGCAGGCCATCCCCATCCTATTACCCCAGGTGACCTAGAGTTTGTCACACCCCTCAAATTACGGGCCTTAGGAATTTCCAGATGGGCCTGCACCTGCTAACAAAGTCACAGCCTAGCTCTATCAGAGACCTTAAATATTCAGGCAAGAGGAGAGAAAAGTGTCCCAGGGTAGGAAAACTTCTTTCAGCTGTGGGGCAGAGCAAAGGTAGACAAGAGGTAGAGTGCAGAGTCAGAAAAGTGCTCCAGAGAAAAGGAGATCAGGGAGATGGAGAGAACAACCCTCCAGAAGGCATGAGAAGCACACTGCTGGTGCGCTCTAACAGCCAACAGGCTCGAGATCTGTCATTAACAACCCCTGGGGGATTTTCTACATAAAGAAAAACAGAGTTTACTGTGTCCAATTATGCTCTATTACCTACAAGACTAGAACACAGCCTACCTTGTAAATGTAGCACGTGCTATATATTGTCATTCCAGAGAACATCAGGCATAAGCACATTCAAATAGAAAGAGAAATACTCTCCAAAACCGAATGTAAATAAGGTGCTTGGTGGAGGTAATCATTACCTCCCCTCCAGAGTGTTTGCTCAGAGATAATGAAACAGCTCATAATGTTACTGTTCTATCTCCTCCAGGTATGCTGGAATTGTAGCTAATTAGTTTGTGTTATTTCTGTGAAAGGCTAAGAGGACAGAATATTCTTAGGCAGTTTGTGATGGGGCTGACTTCATTAAGAAAGGAAGGCTCTTAAAGCTAATACTCACCAGAAGATAGCTGCTGTTATAAGATTTTGGAGGGAAAAAAACATCAAGTTTTCCCCTCTGAGAATAAGCAATCTAATTTAAGGACAAATAAAGAAAAAATCAACTCAGCTGAGAAAATGACTACAAAAGTTAGGTTACAAGTAACAGAAGCATAAATCCAAGCAGAATAGAACAGAATTACAACTTTAGTCATGGTAGATTTTTCTTTTCAAGTTAACAGATATTTAGTCAGCACCCTCTCACTAAATGTGCCTTCAGCTGGGGGACAATCAGTATCCTACCCATAGCAGATCATGCATTTGTGAATGGAAAAACTGTCAAGACTCTGGGCTTTGACCATTATCCCACTCTTCTCATACTTGTCTGTTCCAGGTTTCCTAGAAGATTATTAAGTCAGTAGATTGTTCTAATTGGGAGTGGAGGTGGCCTCGGTGGGTTTCCTCAAATTTCTCTCAAACTTAATCAAATCACTACTGCCACCTGGTGGCAGCATTGGGCTCTGCCAGCAGGGGCAGCCGGTGCTGTGTTTTCCTATAGTGAGCAAGTCCCTGTGTGCTGGCTCGCTCTCTTGTTTAATAACCATAATTCAAGGAGCCCACACTGTTGTAAAAGTATTGGTTGTGCCTCAACATTAGGCAGTGCCTTCTTTCATCAAATGCCATTTGTCACGAAAACAAACCTGAGCCATTCAAAATTCTAAAACCAGTATCATTTATTCAATTTTGCTAACAACCGCAATCCAATCCCACCACCTACCACACAATTAGCAACTGTCCAGGCACAATCAGGCTCTTCCCGGGGTACCAACTAGGTTAAAGATGGTCTGTTTCACATGGGCTATCCCAGGGCAGGTAGGCGTGTTTAGCTTCCAAACCTCATTTGTTTCCAGGGTTTGATTTAAAGAGAATAATCAGTGAAGAAGAGAGTGGTTACCCCTTCCTACTTTGCTCAGATATCAATCCCAGGTCAGAGAAGAGACCACAGGGTTCAAGCAGGGGATTACACAGCTCACTAGAGAAGCAGCAGGCTTAACTGTATCTGTCTCTGACTAATGCTAAATTATAGTTCACACTTCTTTGGCTAGAAGATTAAAAATTAACAATAGATCAAACATTCACAGAGTAGGTATGTATATGTATATAGGGGTGTGTGTGTTTCTGAAATAAATTCACTCTAGTTCATGAAAACCAGGGTTCAGCAGCCCACTGACACTTGGAGGGTGTGCCTGAAATATACAACAGTCATTTGAGCACCTGTTATGTGTTAGACATGGGACAAGGAGCTGACCTTACCAAGGCCAGGTTTTATTTTAAATGAGACACAGGTTTTATTTTTTAGGAGTACACACAACAGAGTAGGGGAAATCTTCAAATTCCAAAAATCCTCCTTTGGTAGGCACAACTACTTATTTCTTACGTTCCTTGGCTGTTACTCAATCTCTTGAACAGCTGACATAAAATTCATTAAATACCATTAATGCTTCAAGCTCTATCACTCTAGAAAAGGACTTTCAATGCCAAAATTCTGATCTCAAGGGCTCCATACAAATCAGGAGATGGCTCGACAGGTATCCAGGCTATATGCTCACAAACACCCACTAATCAAAGGCTGGAGCCTGTGTCTCTCCCAGAGGCTAAAACTGTTCTGAACAACCAAGTGTCTACCACCACAATCACACTTCTACCTTCACTTGCATTTTACCAACCAAATTTTTTCCCTTTCTTCTTTCTTTAGTATGAAACATATCATGCATTTTAAAAGATTACAACATTTTACAACAGTTTAGAGAAGAATAAAATGAACACTGTGCATCTACCACACAGCTTAAGAAGCAGCAGTACCAGGGCCTTGAAGCCCCATGTGTCCCTGCCCAACTACATCCCTCCCTCTGCCTGGCCTGGTAACCACCATCCCTCCACTCATCTTTAAGACTCATCCCCAGACTTGTTTCTTTTGCTCTACAGCTGCAAAGTGCATGTGTACTGAGGAATTATAAGGCCTTGTGCTCTAAGCCCGCTCACCCTCTGGTGACCAGGAATCAGAAAGGAGACAGAGAGCACCAAGAGCAGGGCCCATGTCACTCATCTCTACCCCAGTCCTGCCCAGGGCCTGTTTGTGAGTGACCTCTGGTTTAATCTACAGCAAGAGTCACAAGACAAAGGAACAAACAGGGATATGCTGGAGTGGGGACAAACGTTCCCTTCCTTACCTCTGCCTCTACCTGCTGCTGAGTCCGGCTGTGGTTCTCCTTGTACTGGTTGGCTCTCAGAACTTGCTGCTCGATGCCCAGCAGGACTGCTTCGCAGCCGTCACACCTATAAAGGAGATAACCACCAGCTCTGAGCTGCAGAAAGGTCTGGGAGCTCTTCTCCGGCCTCTGAAATCTCCCTCCCTGACTCCTTAACAGACACCGCATGTAACCCTCCATCTGCCAAGGCTCTTGCCCCTTCACTCCTTCCAAAAGACAAGTGTTTCTGCATACATAGCATGGAGCATTGGAAACAAACATGGAGGATGAGGAGTGGTTTTACAGCTTTAATTTCCAACCTTCACATCCCATGGGAAAGCTTCACTGGCTGTGCAATTAAAGGAGTTAGGAGCGACGTTAACAGGCGGCACTGATTAATCTACTTCCCTGTGCAGAAAAAAGTATTTTCTCAAAGCATCCTATTTTGAAGATTGCCCTTTATCTGAGAAGTGTGTTACTTCCTAATTCATTATTTCATGTTCCCACTTTTTATTTTGAAACTCTTAAAACCTAAAAAAAAAATTAATAGTACAAGAAATAGCCACATACCCCCACACTTCAGAGTCAACAGCTGTGAACACTTTGCCATATTTGTGATAGCACTCTACATACCAATTTTGTTTCAAATCTAACTTCAATGTCTAAGACAAGTTGTAAAAATTTGTACTACTAAACATCCTAGAATGGGGGTTAGGATTGCCCCACTGGGTGCAAACACACTGAAACCAAACTACAGAGGTGAAAACTGTGTCAGCCACCTCAAAAACAGAATAAGACAGCCAACTTTAGTGGGATTGGAAACCTAGATTTTGTATGCCAGACCATTTTCACGCTAGGGGTATTTTCTAAGATTATTTCCCGTTTATTCTGATTTAACAGTTTTACAATCTTTTGAAAGTTCCTGCCTGTGTCAGACGTTGTAAAGGGAAGGTGTCTGGGGTCACACTTGGGACAGAACTTGGGATAAAGGGTGGGCAGTACATGCCCTGGGGTCCAATAGTAGCCGAAGTGACAGAAATGCAGGGGCTTTTGGACATCCCTGGATATACACTTCTTGAGGCTAAGCCAGAGAGTCAGTCTGTTTTAAAGAAAACAATTTCCTTACTCCTCTGTACAAAGTCTGCCTGCCCTGCCTCATGACTTCCAATATGCCACGTGCCCACCTGGGAACATACTCTCCTCACCTCCAATGATACTCCAACTCTGGCCCTCCTTCAAAACTCAGCTAAAACCTCTTTAACTAAGTCCATCTAGCTTTCTAAGTCCCAAATCATTTGAATAACTCCTTGAAGGATGTGCCACAGCTCTTGCAAACATCAAATTACATTTAAATAGAGTATATGCAAATATCCCACTTCCTTTTATATTCCAGAATATGGTTATCAAATATTCTGTGTTTGAGTCTCTGTTCCAACTTAGAATAACCTATTCCTTTGTGTTCAGTATCCCTCACAATGTTTTACGAACACCAGCCCAATGTTACTGACACTGAACATGGGTTCTCTTATCCAAAGAATCTTTACAAAACTAACTTCTTGAGCTTGGTCAAACTCTGAGGGTGAGTTTGCAAAGTGCAAAGTCAGTATCACACAGTGAGGCTTCAAAGGCTCCACCTGCCAACCCTGGGCATTTTACGACATGCTACTAAACAGACCCCAACCATACAGGACAAGAACTATTTTACAACCAAGACACTAGGAAGCCTGAAGCGATTTCTGCTGTCATACAGCTGTAGTCACAAATGCAGCCCCTCTTTGTAGCTTAACTGTCTCAAGGCCCCAGCTCCAGGCAGCCCTACATGATACCTGGAGACCACATTTCCCCAAACAGAGGCACAAAGGGCATGCTAGATATCCTCTCCTTCTTTGAGCCTCACCATTCATGCAAGGTCTTGACAATATTATTGATATCTTTCTTTCGGATGTCACGGCCAATGCAGAAATCCACTTCGAGCAGCTGGTTTCGCTGGTCCAGCTTGCCCTGAATGATATCGGTGTAGACAGCCTCGATGATAAGGTCTTCCAGTTCCCGGAGATTCCGCATCTCCAGGTCCTTCAGCAGCACGGAGTAGGGAATACACTGCAGATAAGGCCATATGATATTTATAAAAACCACTGGCAAACATTAAAGAAAATGCAGGTATTACCAGATAAACAACAGCTGCCTCAGAGCTTTGGGAAATGGGGTATAGTGGTAATTATTAACATCTATGGCAACAAGAGATGAATAAATGAGCTGTGAGACCTGTGAGATCCAAACAAGACCCACAGCATCTAGGCATGTGTTCTCCTCAGTCCTCCACCCCCGGACTTCGCCCAGCTTCCAGCTTTCATGCTCTGAAGTATGCTCTTAGAGATCCCAAAGACTCTTTACAGAGGAGAAAGGGAAATACTCAGTATACGGCACTCTGCTGCCTTCTGGAAGCTTGTAGAATTTGCATAAATGCCAGATCATCACAAAACTGCAAACAATCTCAGACACCGAGAGACAAACTGGCTGTGTGCCCAGCACAGAACAATTACAAAAACTTACAGGCTAACACATCCACCCATAGGTGGTCAATAGGTAGTACTGGCTCAGAGGTCATCCTGAAATTTACATATGTTTTCTCTGTCTCTTAAAACCAATGTCAGTTCCCCAACAGTGGTCCTTTATTAGGCTGTACCAACATTCTGTATGACTCCAAGACAAGTGGATATCTAAGTATCCAGTTTTCTGCAAATCCTCTGACACATCACTATTAGTTTGCAAATTAACACAGCAATCAAATCTGCAGAAACAGACAGGAGGAAGATGTATGCGGAGAAGAGGGCAAACATTAGAGGGGGTTTTCTGACTAAAGATCTGAAATTCAGGGGTGGTACATGTGCTTACAATGACAGGTTGCAGAAATAAGGGAAAAGGCAGTCCTACTCTTCGCTACACTTGAGAGGTCCATGACAAGGACAAAAAAAGGTCAGATTCTCATTTCCTAACAAAATAGGCCTCCCACCCGAAATGCCAAGCTGAGAAATAGAAATTTATTATGAGACCATGTAAAATGATTTCAGCCACTGAAATAGCAATCCAAGAACAAGTATACATCTCTCAGACTCAATCAGAGAGGGGAAATGCAAAAAGCAAACTGTTTCAAAGGCACAGACCCACAAAAACTTAAGACATTTAAGCTGGGATTGGCCAAAATCAACTATAAATTAATCGAACCTGTATCATCTTTGTTAATGGCTATGAGCAGCTGGTTGCACGTCTTCTAAATCGAGTGGGGCAGAGAACTCAGACATACAGTGGAGTGGTATCTTCTAGAAGGTTAGGGTCAAAAGTTAGCATATAAAACAAAAATCCCAATTAGTATAATTAACCTTGAAAATCCCTAGAGGAAGGCAGCATATTAAAAATCTACCTTAGTTTTTCCTCCAGCACTGGCACAGTTCACTGTGCTCTGAGTAACTGAAGTGGTTAGCTTGCCTTGATATGCCTTGCTGTTTGAAAAATCTGTTTCTTGAAACAGCAGTCTCCTTTAAGCATTACAAAATGCTCACACCACGTGACATACCACAGCATGTCAAAACTGAGACCTGCTGATTCACTACCACTCCTGGACACTTTTCCTAAATCGAATGGTGAGTAATTGCCTACACTGTTTTAACTGTTATCTTTTTCTCTTTTGTCCTTTGCCAGGCAAATTCTATACATTTATGATGTGACTCTGTTGTGTGTAGCTGGGACTTCCCACACTGATGCCAACGAGACACCTGCCTCAAGATGAAGAGGAAAACAGGAAAGGGTTCAAGCCATACCTTCATCCTTGACGCCAAGCTCACGATGGTGAGGTGTTTCAGCTTGTTCTGCTGAGCTGTGCTCAGTTCTGGCAGGCTCTCCTTGTTCGCTGCTCAGTCCCACCCACCACAAAAATCAAGACACAAAATAAAATTAGGATTTCTTTATGGAATAAGTACACCAACTCCCCACATCAAACCTACTACTGAATCACTGTCATGACTCTGCACTTATTTGTTAAGCAAATGTTCCATGAGCACCTCCTGTCTTCTCTGAAATATCATGTGCTTCCAAAGAAGAAAAAACTGAATCTCTACACATAAGGAGCTTAGTCTACTGAGAAGTCACGTATGAATGCACAAAATGATATGACAATTATCTTAAAGGAATACTATTTGTGCCCTTTGTGACATTCAATCAAGTTCAACATGTCTTCACTGAGCATCTGTTATGTGCTATGCCCTGTCTTAAGGGATTCAGGGGAATCAAGGATAAATAAGATGGGCCTTGTCAGGGCACTCCACAACTCCAGGAGCACCAACTACCACCCAGAGTTGTGTAACTCAAAGACCTTAGACTTGTCCTCGGTCTTACCATTAGATGTTTCAACAGCTACAAATGCAAGACACAATCACCAAAAGAAAGGTATAAATTACCAGAAGAGAGCCAAAGGGTTAAGAGGAGGGGAGAGGCAGAACGGAAAAAAGAGAGAGAGAAAGAGAGAGCGAGAGCAAGAGAGTACGCAAGTGAGTGAAATCACACTGGGGAGACACGGGAGAGAAAAAGAAAGAATGGTGGAATTTGAGATGTTCCCTGAAGGATGGGCAAAAGTTTAGTAATAACAGTAATGATAACAACAGCACTGGCAGCAGCCACTGGTGACATATAAGACAAGCTTTACTTGGTGTAAGTGCAAACACAAATCCATAAATGAGCACACACATCCACTTAATCCTCACAGCAACACCACAAGATGGATTCCAGATATGTCTTCAATTCCTTATCCATAACCCTGGATTCCAAAAAAGGTGAATCCAAACTAACATTTTTTCCCTTGAGCACAGTGCTGAGATTCATCTGGTGGCAACTCATTTAAATTGAGTTACGCTTTTTATCCCATTTGTTGCAAATATTCATTTGTTTTGCTGCAAAACTATGAACGTGTTAGACTACCAGTGTTGCCCACATCGCTCAAGTGCGTTACATAAAAAAGTATATGCATCATATTACCTTTTTAAAGTCCCCAAAACTCTAAATTCTGAAACATCCAGCCCAAGGAGTGCAAGTAAGGGACTGCGGATCTTTCTATTACTCCCATTTTAGAGATAAGGAGATTGAGGTACAAAAGATTATTTAATTTGCCAAAGGACACACGCCTAGTGGAAATGGAAATAGAATATAATGCAAGAATCCTGGTTTCAAAGTCTGCTAAATGCTGCTCTTAAGAGAGGATGGAAACAAAGAATACAAAGCAAAGGTCAGAAAAAGCTGGAAAGTGGCAAACCATCCAGTCTGACAGCAGCACAAAGTAGAAGTGACCAGGGAGAAAGAAAGTGAGAAAAAAGGGGAAGTCAGGGATATAGTAGGGAAGACCCTGAGTCATACCACTAATATAAACTGCCAGGCCTATGTCATACCACTAAAATAAACTGGGGAAGCCAGACAGAAATGGCTTGGGTGGAAGGTAAGTTAGTGTCTGGACAAGCACACACCTCATTCCTGATATTTAAGATTCTAATTTACGATGATTCAAATGATTTACAAAAGAGAATGGGGTAAGTAGATTATGGAGTATTAGATTATGAAATATTAAAAGTGACTACAACGACTTAAAACATGGATAAATGCCTATGAGATAAGTGAAAAAAGCAAGATATAAAATTGTATACACAATCTAATATCACGAACTACATATCAGAAGGTACAAGCACAAGGGGGAAAACTCCAGCACCATAATGCTGACAGTAGTTTAATGGTGGTACAACTATGAGTAACTTTTTCCCCCTATTTTCCAAACTTTCTTCAATATGGTGATAGTATTTAGATAATATTTAAAATGCTTAAATACTTTACAAGTGGGTATTCTAACGTTTCACAACACTCCAAATGTTCTACAAACACCAGTCCTCAAGAATCTCATCTGGAAAATAAACAAGGGCTATATTTATGGATGAGCATAAACATAGCCCCCACATATCCACTGGGAAATACAAGGTGAGAAGGGAAAGTCCTCATGTGAGGTCACCTACAGGACACAGTAAAATGGGAAACAGCCAGGTTAAAAAGTTCCCACCCTTTGTTTTGTATCCCAGACCTCAGTGATCCTCATGAAGACAACACATCCAAACAGAGCAACATAATTAAGAAGACTTTGGAGGATCTTAACCAACTCACCTATGTAATCTGGGTATGTTCCATAGGCAAACAGGTTCAGCAACTGCAAATAAGCAGCATTAGTTCCTTCTGCAAGCTGAGAAGAAAAAAAAAACAGTTCACAGATCAAGCTATTTATAATCACTGCAGTGTTCAAGCAGAGGACAGATGACCATGTGCCACGGTTTTGTACTGTTTTATTGCTTGGTCCCTGAGGTCCCTTCCAACTCTTTGACTCTTTGAAGAAAAATAAATAAGGTTATTAAGGCCCCAAATTTAATTTTTCTCCCTCAGGAATCCATGTTTTACACTCCACACAGCATGCCCAAGAACTACTTTTGTCACACACACACAGATGCGCACACACACAAAGCAGAAAGCACAGGGAGCAGTTCATCTTTTCTCAGGATTCCCTTGCCGTCAAAACGAAGACTGGATCAGCCTGTCTACACAACAGCTTGGGAGGTACAGCACAAGCCACTAACAATCCAAACCGAATAAAGTATAGGGTTGGCTCCAAGTTTCAGGACTGCAAGTGGACTGTGAATTCTGGAGATTAGCACAGCGTTAAGGTGTGACAAAAGAGCCCAATTGGGGCAGGAAACCAGGATATCAGTCAGCACCAAACAAAATTACGTATTCCTCACTAATGCTAATGGCAAAGAGCCACCTGTAGAAGAAAAATGAAAGAGATACTATTCTACCAGGAACTGCTCTCCTCTGCTCTGCTGCCAGTTACCATAACTGGGTGCTTCCCTTACAAATATGCACCTGTTACTCTTGCAATTTACCAAACTCAGGAAAGTCTGAACAGGAATACCCAAGTGGTATTCTGTGGACACCAATAATACTACTACTCAATTTTTACCATCTTATAAAAAAAGGTTCTAAAAACTGTATAATTTCAGACCACTGAAAGGCTACTAGTTTATTCCCAGATCACATATGGAAAAAAACTGTGGGAGGATAAAGGCGATTTGCTAAGCACTCCAATGAGAACTCTGGCATCCTAATACCCAGTCTAACTTCTCAGGTTATCAAAAACCTCCTGAAGTCCTGAATTAGAAGTGGAAGAGATCATCAAATCTAGCCGCCACTTTTCAGACAGACAATTACAAAACTAGCTATAAAAGACTATTTTCTCTAGAGCAGACACTCCCAAGTTTCTCCCACTGGCTTAAATCAACAAGTTCTTTCTGAGAGGACGCGACGTGAGTCGCGACGGTGAATCCTGCTTACCTAGGAAATGCAGCTAACACATCAGCTGGACCTATTTCCTGAATATAGAGTGACCCTTCTGTTATTTAAAGATGTAAAAAAATGCTGGAGACTTGAGGAAAAAGGCCATGGAAGGTGCAATTGATGGCTCATTAATAAACCCTACAGTGATTGTGGATTCATTTCAGATACTTGTGGAGCAAACAAAGCAGTTCACCTCTACAAACTGAGAAGAATGAAGACAAGAACTCTATCTACTGAAATTATTTTCAATCTTTCCCCAACTAACAATATTTCAGAGGCTTTGAAGAAATTTGGTATCTCAGCAAATGACACTTCAATTCTAATTACTTATATTGAAGAGGGAGAAAAACAAATAAACCAAGAAGACCTAATATCTCAGGTGGAAGGTCATCAAGTTTCTCTAGAATATCTACCTGAAATAACAAATATTACAGAAGTGAAAAAGATATATAAACTATCTTCACAAGAAGAAAATATTGGGACATTATTGGATGGTATCATTTGTAGAATGTCAACAAAAGATGTTTTATGAAATGAAAAATATTAATAGTTTTCAGCATTTATTAAAAACATTGGTTATTTTTTCCAAATTTAAAAAAAAAAAGTTCTTTCTGGCTTTAATTTTCATCTACCTCCTCTTACCCAAACTTCCATATAAAACAACCACTTTGGTAGAGGAAGGTATAGCTCAGTGGTAACTTGCATGCTTAGCATGTACAAGGTCCCGGGTTCAATCCCCAGTACCTCGGTCAAAAAAAGAAATCTAATTACCCCACACATACAAAAAATTTTTTTTAATTTAAAAACAAAAACAAAAACAAAAAACCACTTGGCATATTCATTCAGGCTTTTCATGAACCTGAAGGAACATATTACCCCTTTGTCATCACTTCTTTTGAAAAATGATGAGCTATCAAGCCATGAAAAGACATGGAGGAAATTTAAATGCAATATTACTAAGTGAAAGAAGCAAATCTGAATGGTTACATATGTTTGATTCCAACTATATGACATTCTGGAAAATTTTAAACTATGAAGACAGTAAAAAGATCAGTGGTTGCCAGGGATTAGAAGGGAGAGAGGGATAAACAGGTAGAACACAAAGAATTTTTAGGGCAGTATAATACTCTATATGATATTTACACAGCAGATATATGTCATTATACATCTGTCTGAACCCAAAGACTGTACAACACCAAGTGTGAACCCTAATGTAAACAATGGTCTTTGGGTGATAATGACGTGTCCGGGTAGGTATCACACTGGTGGGGGATATTGGTAATGGGGGAGGCTATGCATGGGGTACATTAGAACTCTCTGTACCTTCGTCTCAACTTTATTGTGAATCTAAAACTGCTCTAAAAAAAAGTCTATTAAAAAAACAAAAAACTCAGTTTTCTTAAGTTTTCCTCAAGGGACTCCTTTTCTATTCTCTGGTAAATTAAATTTTTACTGAAAGCTTACTGTGTGTCAGGCTACACAATACGCTCTAAGGAAACAACTGTGAGCACACAGACTTTACCCTCATGGAGCTTACAGTCTAGCAAGCCAGCCTACCATTAAATAAAAATTCACAATTGAAAAATAGAAGTGGGTCTTTGTGTTTCTAGCTGTTGCAGGGAAAGGAAATGATGCAGCAATGGATATCATGAGGAACTACCCAAGTTTCCTGATCAAGAGGAATAAGCTAGGGTGAAAGGGTATAGCTCCGTGGTAGAGTGCACTTAGCCTACACAAGGTCCTGGGTTCAATCCCTAGTACCGCCATTGAATAAATAAATAAATAAACCAAATTACCACTCTCCCCTCCCCCCAAAAAGAATAATAAGCAGATATACAGCAGCCAGCCAGCCAGTAACTTGAAGACACACAACTCCTTTTGCTACAACAGGCTGATCCAAGGCAAGGCTGTGGGCATGGAGCCGGCAGCCAATGGCAAAGGTGTCCTCGTGGTCATAAACTGAAGAACTAGCCAGCAAAAGCCAGTCACCTCCTATGTGTGGACCACCATCAACAAGAATGCCTGGGACACCCTCAACAGCATCGTGCACATGAACAAGGGCCGCCCAGACCTGCACACGGCTACCATCAGCAGAGCTGGCAGCCATCCACAGAGCTGGCACCATCCTAGGCAGCCAGAAAGCAGCTGTGATGGTGAAGAGGAAGTTAACCTACCCCACCAAGAGCTCCTGAGCACAACTCCCAAAGTAATAAAGATGTCAGCAGACTTCTCAATCTATGTAAAAATACTAATCAATAAATATAAAACTATCTAAAGCGGGAAGTAGATGGTTAAAAGCATATGCTGCTTTACATCTCTGTTCCACCTGGTTATTTTTCACCAGATCTTCTCATTTTTAAGGCACAACAACCAAAAGTGATACTCAAGGTTTTAATAACAACCACCACACAAGCAAACAAAGTAAAAAGGACTAATTCCAAGCTTTTCATGTCATATTTTTTTTAACACATCTACTTTATAATTGCCCTTTTCACGGGAACAATACACTCTTTATTCACAATCATCTCATGTTCAATAGCAATCATTTTCTGCTGTGTATGTACCTGATCAATCTTCATTGTCTATATTCGCACTAGAGGTTTTATGCCCCTAAGAATGACTAAAACTACCTTTGCTAAACATCAGTCCACACTTCTAGTCTACTTTTTCAATTTATCAGGTTCAATTGGATATTCCCCTATCTTTCAAGTTATTAGCAGCCTAACTTAAATTGACCCCAAATTCACATGAAAATATTGACCAGAAGGAGGCCAGGACATCATCCTTGCTCTCTTATCCTGCCCCATTAATTCTCATTCCTCTCTCAACAGAGCACCTCACAGATCCACAGCTTCAGCACTGAAATTCTTCGCAAATATGGAGAATCACAGGAAGGTTTAGAACAAATACAGAGAAATTGTAAACTTCTCTTACCTCCTGCACATTGGCCAGCTCCAGCAGTTCTCCAAAGACATATACCCCAGGAGCCTCCAAAACTTGACTTATGAGAGCAGTGAGGGCTGAGCCACTGGTACCTTTGGCTAGTAAAATAAACTGTTCCAGGAGGTTACTTGAAGGTTTCTGTTCACCTGCCATTCTCTGACCTTGAGATCTGTCCGAAAGAAAAGTGTTTCATTCTTCCTTCTTCTTTGCAAAATCTACGTTTATTCAATGTTGGATCAGACATCAGAATACTTTAATTTTATAGTATTCAATAAGAAAAAACAGGTCCTGAGTCCAGATCTCACTTTGTGAAATGGGTAGGGTTCAACCTGTAGTTAAAGGGATTTTGTCCTTATTCTGACATTTGAAACACATTTAGTAAAAGCCACTTCATCTCCACCTGGCCCTTACCCAAAGGCAGCACCTTTTAAGCCCTTAAACCTAACCAGAACCTAAAGAAACACACAGAAGTATCTCAGTTGTTGTTTTATATCCATTCATTTTTAGACTCTGGTTGAGAAGCAGAGAATCTTGCCCATACACAGAGGCAGCAGAGGTAAGCAAAACAAATCTGTCACAGCTTCCAGTATGTCATCAGAATCCCACCTACAGCCAAATACAGATAAGGAAAGATACGAAAAGCAGATGTCCCATTTAATGAAAAAAGTCATTGACAGAATATAAAAAGGGGGAAATCATCTTGATAGATAAGAGGCAACATGTTCAAACTAAGAAAATACATGCATACATGCTGTGTAAGTCCATGAGGAAAATCCCTTTATTTGGCCTCCTATTGATATGTAACATTTACCAAACGTGACTTCAGAATTTGTATGAAACCTCAAGAAAACAATTTTAAAAAATCTAAGAAATCAATGAAGATATAATGTTGCCATCCTTAAGACATTAGGACAGGAGGGTCCCCCAACTGTATAATCTACTTACTACAAACTGAGTGTGTGTGAATACACATACTGCGTATCTACTCTACAGGAGTCTTGCATAAGGAAAGATTACTTCTCCAAGAATAATATATACCAAGCAGTGTGACAAAATGAAGGAGAAAGGGTATAGTACAGTGAAAAAGAGAACACATCAAAGAAGGATAGTTTGATGCAAGAGAAACTAAGTTTTCCTGTAGAAGTAGATACAAACAGCAGCAGCCCTTTCACAGTATTACAGAAACAAGTATGTTGCCTCACCCAGGGTTACCTAAGAAGGTCTTGTCGGAAACAAAAAAAAAATGAAGTGCGAGGGAATAAAGGTTGGTGAGGGAACAGGAAACTGGAGGGAGAACGGGAGAGAATAGGAGGGAGATGTGGAGGGGAGGTGATGGTTAGGAGAGGAGAAACAAAAACCTCCTTTCAAAGTGGACATTTGTGAAGACACTGAATGGAAGGGCCTGGTGATAGAGAAGAGGTAGAAAAATGGACAGAAACTTAGGTCCCTCAAAAAAATCTTGGCCAAAAGAGCAAAGCCAGTGGGGGCAGAGGTAAGGAAGCGCTGATAATCGCTTTCTTCTGGAGTGGGAGGGCCTGAAAAGGCGGCTAGGAACTCAGGGGAGATGAATTCCCGTCGTGGCGGGCGCTATTTTGACGGATAGCAGAGGGTCAAAGAGGCAGCCTTAGGGGGTGGGAAAGAGAGAGCAGTTGCGGTGCGGCAGCTGAGGGTCGCAGACTGGGGTGAGCTTCAGACTGGGTGGCGTGTTACAGGCAGGGCCGCGGGTGCAGAGTAAGGAGCCGCGGGGAGCGCTCCCGGAGCGGGGGCGGGGCAGTGTGACCGCGAGCTTTTCCCACGGCTGGCGCTAAGCCTGACGGCCCAGATGAGCCAGGCGCGCCGGGCTCCGCCCTCTCGCCAGCCCCTACCTGTCCTCGCCGCCTCTCTGTCCTCTTGGTCGCTGACTTGGCCTCCCGGCGCCTGCCCGCAGGTTGTCAAGCGTCCATGATCTGCCGGGCGTCCGACGCTTTTCTGTCTCCGCCAACCCGTTGCCCTTGCGGCTCCCCCGGAAGCCTCCCGCCGCTGCACTCGAGTTCCGCCCACACTAGGTTCCCCCTGCGGCGTTCGCAGCCTCAAACCTTCAGCGCGCCCCGGCCAGGGAAAGGGGGTCCGAGCCGGGTGGGGGTCCTAAGGAGAGGAATGCAACCTAGGCATTACTGGGCCCCAAACCATCGCTATTACCATACTGGGCCCTAAAACCGCCTCTTTGGCCCAGCTTTACCCCTCAGAAGTTCCCTATAGCGACTGTGTCTACCCAGGGGGGTACAGAGACAATAAGCAGTAAAAACTACCATTTTTTGAGCGTTCTTCCATGTGCCGGGTGCTGTACATTGTCTTGTTGAATTCTCATAGTAACTCTATGGCCTGTAATATTATTCCCATTTTTCAAGTGAGATAACTAAGCCTAAAAATCCAAAAGCCAGTAAAGGTCAAAGTCTCCTTTGTAACCCAGGCTATCTGAAACCAAAGACCATGTTCTTCACCTCTAATCAGAAAAGGTTTTAAAATAAGCAAAAGATGGGTTGAGACAACAATGGTTCTGTGACGAAAATGACATTCACGGCATTGCATTTGGTACTTACCAACTCCCCTGGGAGACAGTAAGAATGTTACATAACTGAACACTTAAACTGGTCCCTTTAAACTATACATCACAGACTTTCAGGTCTTGAAGATGAGAATAAGAGGCCTGTTTACGTTTTGTGCATTTGAATGCAGAAATCAATCAGACAGATGCAAAGGAGCCTAGCAACAACTAACTCATTTATTTAAAAAATTTCTTTGCACCTATTATATTCTAGAAGGTTATAAGAAGAAAAGACAAGGTTCTTGCCCTAAAAAAGCTTCAATGTTTTAAGTGCCATGAGAGACAGATGATAACACTTTGGAACCACAGAAGAGAACGTGCTGGGGAAGAGAAAATGGGCATCTTATGGGCAAAGGGGGTAAGTAAAAGAGGTCAATGACCATAGTCACAGAGGTTTGCACTGTGCAGTATATACTGATGCATAAAAGAAACCCATGACTGGGACCCAGGGTTCACAGGTGAGAAATGGAGGCTACAGAGTAGAAGTAAGGTCATCGAGGTTCTTGGAAACCACATTCAAGGCACTATACCCAGTAAAAACCTAAATACTGCTAAGTTCCTACCTAGGAAAGCTCAGAGCTCCTGGGAGAGACAGGCCTGTCCGGCTATTACAGACCATGCCATAGGCAGCCCAAGGGTACAGATGAGGCTCTCCTCACTGTACCCGGAGGAGAGGTGATTTAAGGCAGGATTCTGGAGGAAATGATACTTGAGTTAAGCCTGGAACAATGAGCAAGCAAATCAGAAAGAGTATAAGCCATGTTAAAGAGTTTTTGTTTTATCTTAAGGGCACTGGGGAGCTATTTAGGGTTTCTTGTTTTTTTAGCTGTGGAGAGGTCTGAATAATTGCCATTTTGGACACTAGCTGTTATAGGAATGGATTGGATATGGAGGGAACTAGAGGCAGGGAAATGCTTGAGGTGACTGATGTATTCCATTAAAGAGACTGTGAGATCTTAAAGAAAAGTAGTGGCAGTTGGGCATAAAATCAGAAGGGACAGTGTTGGAGACATTTAGACCATAGTCTCTATCAGACCTGGTGACCAGTTGAATGCAGGGATAGGGAAAGAGGATCTCACCCAGGATTCTAGCTGGGGAGGCTAGAGCTGTCTGGAGGTGGTGTAAGTGAACAGGGCTGTGGAGGAGAAGGGGCAAACATGATGGTGGAAGGAAGACAACTAAGTTCTGTTGAGTTCCTGAACACTCTGGCTATGTCTCCATTTCCTCCACACAAGCCAGCAACTCCTCTCCTAGAAATAAGTGCACAAGCCCACGAAAAGAAACATATGAGTATTCACTGCAGCTTTTTAAATAAAAGCCCAAAACTGGTAACTGAACACTTAAATGCCCATGAATAGTAGAGTAGGCAAATAGTGCTACATACATTACAGTGGAAAACCACTCAGTTTTCAAAAAACAAGCTACTGCTACATACAACATGGATGAATCTCACAAACATACTGAGGAATGAAAAAAGCCAGACTCATACTGCGCATACTATGTGATTACATTTAAATGAAATTGAAGAACAGATAAAACTGATCTATAGTCACTGAAGTCAGAAGAGTGGCTATTGGGATGGGACGATGCGGTACTGACTGCGAAGGGACACAAGGGGTGCTGGAAATGTTCTGTATCTTCACATGTGGTCTATACATACGCTAAAACTGTGCCCTTGCTGTATGCGTTATACCTCATTAACAAAAAAACTTACAAATAAAAATTTCTAACATGGAAAAAAATCCTACTCATACCACCTCCTCCATCAAGTTTTGCCAGCTGAAATACAGCTTTCCATTGGGGCCTCTGTAGCATTTAGTGTCCTTTCTTTTGTGCCATTTATCACAGTCCATCTTGAATTCTGGGAGTCTCTTTATTTCTCTAACTGAATGGTTATCTTCCTGGTGGCAGTGACCATTTCTTTCACCTTATACCAACAGAGAGCCTGGCAAATAGCAAAAGCTGAAAAAGGTGTTTGTTGAATTACATGGAAGGAAAAATTGGGTGGGTGCCCAGATTGGTGAAAGGGGGACAGGAAGGGGAGGGAAGGCCTAGGAAAAGACAGCAGATCTCCAAGGAAACCTTAGCTTACACTACAATTTTACCTAGTTTCTGCAACCACATTAAATGTCACCTTGAGCAGTAAAGAAAACATCAAAACACCAAGTCTTACCTAAACGGAGGATAAACAAACATTACATTCCTTCACTTGCAGGAAATCCACCAAATAAATGCCTACTTAATGTCGACTGAAGAAAAACACACAACCTAAAAGTTGAAAACTATGTTTTTATTCAGGGACCTTGCTGTGTACTGTAGCCCAGGAGATAGCCTTTCAGATAGCTTTGAGGAACTGCTCCGAAGAGGTAAAGGAGGAGCCAGGCTACATAGTTTTTGCTGGGGAAAAAAATGTAGTCAAATATCAAAAGATTACTGCTAATCACAAAAAACAGATATCTCAAATGAATGATTTTAGTGTTTATGTATGGGAAGATGCAAGAATCTAAGGGTCACTGAAATTATTCCTTACATATGTTTCTTAACTGTATAGGACAAGTATCCTGTTTTTTCCATCCTAAATTCCCCTGTGGGCCCATTTTCAGGGGCAGCTTCAGTGGCTGAGGGCTTGATGGTTGGCAACATTCCTTGTTGTTTACTGGAATGTCAAGCAATATTCATTGTTTACTAATATGGCAGGCAACATTTTTTTCTGTCCACACTAACCTCTGGATGTTTCAACCTGGGTGGGAAAACTTCACCAAGGAGAATAAGGTCGCATAGCCATGCTGCTAAAAATATCACCACCCTAGAGCCCAGACTGCAGGAGACTTAGATCCGAATTTTAACTCTGCCCCATCTTACTGTGGCCCGTGGACAATCTCTTCGCCTCTCTGGGCCTCAGTTTCCTCATAAGTAAAACAACTGGAGTTGGATTGGCAAATTCTCTGAATTCTGACTGCATTGATATTCTGAGTACACAATCCATATCTCTCCCAGTCCAACGCAGGAGCACATCAGAAACCCCTGCAAAACACGTAAAAGGCGCCCCAGAACAACAAGCACGACTTGAAGGACTCATTTTGTTATATTATCTTTCACAGTTTAATCAGTGTTTGTGTTTGTTTTTTCAGTCTTACCATGACTTGCAGGAGATTTCTGAGTTCCATGTAAATGGAAGTTACCTCTCTGTGGGCTGTCATCTTCTTTTGAGGCTGAAGAGGATCTTCCCGTCTGGTTTCAAGACTCGGGATTCAGAAAACACCAAGCCTACAAGCCGGTTTATGAATTTGCGCACGCTGCGCGGCACACTGGAATCTAAGTTACAGAGAAATAGAGTGCTGGGAATGCTGGGATTTGTAGTCCCTGGGCTTCTTGTTGCGTGCTGGGATCTGTGGTCCCCCAGGTGCCCCCTGGAATGCTGGGAAGTGGAGTCTCTGCCACATCGCACAGGGCAACCTGCCGTCATCTCAGAACCCTGCTGTGCCAGCGTCAGGGGCGGTCCCCTCGAGCCTCTGCAGGTCTGAAGCCAACCCTCCGCTGGGGCACACTCTAGGCAACAACACTGAAAGAAAAATTTGTCCTATAAGACTCCCCCAGGAGGGCCCTTCCCTTTGACGCTCTTCGTCCCCCAGCGAAGCCGCTGAGTGTTTCTATTGGATGATCAAGATGCCAATCTCCGAGGCGGGCTTTCCATTGGCTTCGGGGCGGGCGCTCCGAGGCTAGAGGGAAGGAGAAGGGATCAGGAGCGGGAGCTGAGGGGAGGGAGAGGCCGGACGGGGTCTGGCGGCTGCCGCTGTTCACCCGAGGACTCCAGGCCGGGCTGTGGCACTGTCCTCTGCTCCTGGGCACCGCCTGCGAGGCTCCGCCGAGCCAGCGTGGGAGAGCCGCGGGCGGCGGCCGCCGCATCATGTCAGCCAAGGACGAGCGTGCCAGGGAGATCCTGAGGGGCTTCAAACTGTATCCGCCCGGGAGCGGGGCGGGGCCGGGAGGACTTGGGAGGCGGCCGCTTGCTGAGGAGACGGGCCGGGGGCGGGGGCCTCGCCAGGTGGGCACCGGAGGAGTGGGCGGCGGGAAGTGAGGAAAGGAACGGCGTCCCGGGCCCCCGGTGGGACCTGGCGCAGGAGGCGGGGAAATGGGCGTCTTGTGGGAAGAAGGGGACGTTGACGGGAGCCCCGCGGGATAGAAGCTGAGGAGCCCCAGAATTGGGCTGGAGAGGCGCCGGGCGTCGGAAACGTGCGTGTCGAGGAGGCGCGCTTGGGTCGGAGAAGAGAGGCCGGGAATGGGCTGCGGCCCGCGCGGAAGGGCTGAGGGGGCGCGGTGGGCTGGCCTCGAAGCCCAGCAGCCTCTTTGGCGGGAAGCCCCCCGGGGCAGCAGGGAAGACTGACTTGGAGCGAGTGACCTTGTGCGGGACAAATGCAGATGCTGGTGTTGAACTCTCTCGGGTTCTCCCATCCCATCCCATCTCACTCCACCCCACCTTGTTTCCACAACTTCTCTTCCTCACTTGTGGCTCCTTCCTGGGCTGGAGTAGAGGGAGGTGGGGAGTGAGAAGTCCGAGATGGACCTCGTCTTAACTCT